GATTAAATCTTACTATTCTAATTATTACTAACTTATTATTATTATTACATATATAATTAAAAGTGAAATACTCTTATAAATCATTGATTGATTATTACATATATTATTACATGAAATATTTGAAACAATATTTAAATCAAAATTGTAATCAAGTATTCAAAATTTTCACAGATATTGGCAGAAAATGATCCTACAAATTATCTTACTAACAATTTTTGTAACGATCGCAGGCAAAAAAACTGTGAAACCTGAGGTTTGTCTTACTAATTTGTAATAATTGTTTGAAGAAAAATTTTGAATTAAGCAAATTTTTAGTTAATTTTTGGTAATTCGATGCTTGCTACATTTTTATACAATTACTTATCATTTTTATTTACGGCATTTTTTATACTATATTGATAATGATTTATAAATAATCTAACCTATGATCAGAAATCAAATTAAGTATCAAATTTCTGAGCCTAAAAATTTTATTTATTATTACAAAAATGTAAACAATGCGTTAATAGTTTCTGCAATTACTTTTCTGATGTAATTAATCTCAAATTAAATTAGCAGCATCAAATTTAAAAAACATCAACAAAACGCTTTACAGTTTTGAAAAATAGCAAAAAAATAAATTTTGAATTCAAATAGCTGCGCGAAAAGTTAATTATATATGTAATTAATAATAACTTAGTATTTCTCGAGATTAGATGGTATTTTTCAAGGGTTAGATGTCATTTTTTAGAGTGCAGTGTGTGAAGAACTTATTGAATGTTATGCAAAGTCTCGAGCTAAGGCTGATGACTGCGTCTCACAAGTGGACAAGCATGAATGCTGGAATGAAACTTTACAACTGGAACTTAAAGACTTGAATGATGAAGTGAGTTCAAGTCTTGAAATTGAGTACTAGTGTATTTGCAGACGTATTTAGAGTATAATTATGCCAATTAAGCCGATAAATTCAGAGCTATAAAATTTGTATTCAAGTTTACAATTTTTTTTAAAAATTTTTCAAAGTTATATGTCAAAAATACATTGCAAAAGTATAAAAATAACTGTTTTGTAATATTAAAAATTTAACTATTATTTATAATTAGTTTTAATAAATTTCACTATTCTTAAATTTTCAACCCAAATAATTTGAATTTTACATTTATTTACAAACAAAAAATAAGGATGTTATTGAATTATCAATATAAATACATACAATAATAAATTTTAAATTTTGAAAATTTTTAATGAATAAAAAGTTGTTGAGCAATTTTCTATTGTTTTCTGCTCTGTATTATTTAAATTGAATTCTTCAACACTTTCTTGCAGCGCATTTCACTTCACGAAAAATGTTTACGTGAAAGGTCACCTACTGCAACAGTTATTGCAAACGCAAAAAAGGTTAACTTTATCATCAAAGTTGTATTATAGAAAAATAAAATTGTGGCATTTATAAATGAAATTATAAAATTTAAATTAATTAACAACGCTGACTCTTAAGCAAACTTCTGCCTTAATAACTTAATTCTTTATACATCTGTTGAACTTTTACAGACTTCTTCATGTTTTTCAATATAAAAAATAATCAATTACAAAGTTTACAAAATTTCTAGAAAAAATATTTCTAAATTTTCAAGTAAGAAAAAGCAGTAATAATTATTTTGTTCAAAAGTATAATATAAATTTTACTGATTGATTCTCGAAAAACAGTCTGAACAGTTTGCTGTAATCAATTTCCCAGCGTTTACGATAATTTTTTACGTTAAACATAATTAAGAATATTAATAAAATTTTGAAGATCATAAATTATTGATTATTTAATCAACAACTTTTATATTTAACAAAAAAACAAAAATAATTGATGCGCTTAATTTATTGATAAAACTTTTTTTTTTTCAAAAATTACGCTTTATAGAAAGCCAAGTGCAATTCAATACTTCGCAAGAATCCTTACAACAAGTCAGCAAGTGAAAAAGACCAAAGTAAGAAGAATCATCGCGCAGTGCAGAAAGATAAAAAGGGTAACGCGCAACAAAAAACGTGTTTTCGTGAAGCACGTAAATTACGGACGTATTGTGGACAACTTTCCAAGTGCTGCACGATTAGTAAAATGTACGTGTAATTTGCGTGATGTTCCCAAAATTAAGAAGATTTCAAGACCATAATCGATTTTCATCATACTTGTTTTCTTATCAAAACACGTTTTTTCGCTGTAAATAATTTATTCATAAGTTTACATAAATTGTGAAGTTGAGATGTCTTACTGACTTTTGATATTTGAGTTAACGTAACTTAATATTCTCAAGTATTTTATTTTTCATTTTTATTCACATTTTACAGATGCAAAACAAATAAATTAATTGATGAAAAAATAAATGCAAAACGAATGGAAATAAAGGATGCTGAGGAACAATGTCGCTTGGAACATGGAAATAAAGGCAAAAGCAAGGATGCTAAAAATCACAGACGTAACGGAGGTCATCATCATTCAAAAGGGCAACGTAGAAAGTCTAAAAATTCTGAATCCCATGCGTGAACTGAACATTAGTTCATATCTTATCAACAATTATTGTAATAAAAACAGCCAAGAGTAAATTGTTTTTGATAGTAACTCTCGAAAGTAAATATTTGTTAAGTCATACAGCAACAATTATTCTTATCAATTCAAATTGTAATACTTAACATGATATTTAAAGGACTTCAAAATAAACAATTTTGAATAGTTCATACAAAAATTTCAGAATTTATTCAGTATTATCATTTGAATATTTATAAGAGTTCAGTGATTCAAATAAACAGTAAAGCAAGCAAAAACTTGGATTTGAAAACTGCATCAAATTCAAAATAGAAATACTCAATAATTTCTGGAAGAAATGTCATGTTTTCATCTTTAATTCTTCAAGTTTTAACTTTTGAACATTGCGAATGAATTGGATAATATATTTGACCTCTTTTTATTGGTATCCTTTCCAGTGCTACTCGACCTATCGTGAATTTTTAATTACGCTTACGCACATTTGTCGTTACATGTAAAATGTGATCTCTTGTCATAATATCAATTCACATTATTCAATTATTAAATACTTTTTGTGCGAAAATATTTTTTAGATTATTATGGTTAATTTATTATGGTCGTGTATTTTTCGCTTAGACATAATAGAATTTATTTATGATAATTTGATAATAAATAAACTAAACATCCATTCAAAATTGAGCTTTAGACTTCTTGAAATTCCAGTTTAGTTTTTCACTTTTTTACCTGCAAAATGTTTATTAATTATTTAACTTGTCGTGTATTTATTACTTAAAATACAAATTAGATATTCATACTATTAAAAAAGGTGCAAACATGTAAGCACACTTTTCGAATTAATTACGCTAGTTCGAACTCTGAACTTCAAATATTTTAACTTAATATATTTATATTTGAGTAATAATGATAAATATGCAAATTTTATATTGATGTTCACACTAACGTCTGATTTGTATTTTCAGCTTTAATCATCTCTTTCGAATTTTCCTTGACAAATCCGAACAAATAAATTTTTTTAAGTGATCAAAGGATATTTCCCTTAAAAAATTTGTTTGATGATTTAAAGAAAAGCTTCAAAAAAAGCTAAAATTTATATTTCGAACTGGCATCAACTTTTATATTAAAATTCATTACAGTTGAAAATCAATTTAATTCAAAATCTAACGTAGCGAGATCTCACAACGTATTCAGGCCATTAATTTTAATGAAAATTGACGTACATACACGATTTTTGCTGCTAAGATATCCAAATTAAGCATATCTCTTTTACACATAGCAGCGTTTTTTGCATTACAACATCCATTATTAAGTTCAATATTACCAATCAAAAATATAACAATTCACTTTAGTTTGCTAATTTTAACAATCGATTTTTTTTACTTTATAAAATTAAGAGACTAATTTGTTTACTTGCTGACGCATTTCTTTACTTCACATTAACTTATAAAAATTTGAAAATTAGGATGAGCCAGAAGTGAAATTATTCAGTTCACACTAAATTATGTTAGTTACTAATAAATAATGCCTATTCTGACATGCGACTACACACTACACATTAAATTTAGCTTCTGACAATAACACGGTAATGAAGTGTTTCAGTGACGGAAAAAATTAATGCACTGCTAATCTTTTCCGTCATCAAAACATTTTAGCAAAAATGAGATAATTCCGTTCCTAAATAAAATAATCATGATTTTTAAAGTTATATGAGAGTTCATTTGATTAGGAAAAAATCACAAAACAAATAATACTCAAACACTTAAATTTTTTACCGTTATAAAGTGAAATGTGAAAACGTGCACAAGTATTTTGAAACAATGACATTTAAAAATTTGCATGGCGCGACAGTTAAAGGTTTATATCGTTACTTTTATTATGAAGTATGAAATGGTTTTAAAATTTGTGACTTAGAACTGTAGCAGATGTTATTATGGTCTTTATGTAGTTTACTTGTTCTGCTTATTGTGAAGTTGTGTGGGAGTTTTCAGAAAAAAGTGAAGGATGCTTACTGGTAGTGTAGAAGAAGACGTACCACAACGTGATCTTCATGAGCCAGTCGTTGAAAATGTCTGCTTCATGCAACCGTCATATGGTTCGGTAATGATTTGATACGTTTTTATGATCATTTCGCTGATTTTTTTCCCGTAATAGGTATAGAATTTGTTTTGAATTGAAGTGGTTGCATGCAATCGGATATTGCGAATTAATTGCTGTTCCCACGTTTGGTTAAACATATAGTTTATTTCCAATAACTTCGAAGGAGTATAGAGTCTTCTAATTTTTCGTGAAAATCAAGAAAGTTAGTGCTACTAAAATTGTCAAGTTTTTTTAATGTTGTGTTTTTTATGTCTCTTGAAATTATCTGTGAGGATATAAAAAAGTAAATATACTTACAGCCTGTTGAATTTGTGCAAACACATTTTGGAAAGAATTCGAGTGCAAAGAATTTGCAGTTTTTAAAGGGAACAACAACTCTCGCATTTATTTATGAACCGAAAACAGCGAATGATAAGGGTGGCATTATAATTGCAGCAGATTCGCGTGCATCAGCTGGCGAATATATATGTAAGTATATTTGGGACAAATTTATTTAGCAATTCGAGGGATAGTGTTGCTTGTATCAGAACTGTAACGAGTGTTTCAATTCCAAACGTGTATTATAGCATCAAAAAGTATCATGAAAGTGTTGGATATTGGTGATCGAATGGTGGCAACAATGGCTGGGGGCGCAGCAGATTGTCAGTTTTGGACGCGTGTCGTCGCAAAATATTGCGCGTTAGTTTACAGAATTCTATGCGTTCCTGTCTTTTTTTGAGATGTGTTATTAAGTGCAATTTCTTTTTCAGTCTTTATGAACTTCGAGAAAAGACAGAAATAACTGTTGCTGCTGCCAGCAAATATTTTCAGAACGTTTTGTACTCCTACAGGAATTATGGACTTTCAGTTGTACGTAATATTTTGATTATAAATATGAGTCGTACTTTGATTCTTAAACAGTTTCTAAGTTGCATAAATAAATGGAGATAAACTTTTCAGGGTTCGATGATTGCTGGTTATGACAAACGTGGTCCTGCGATTTTTAGAGTTGATAATGAAGGACAACGAACCCAGTTACGGCTGTGTAGCGTAGGTTCAGGCTCTTTAAGGTATTTGGTGTTCATTTTTAACATGAAACAAGACTGATATACTTTTTTCCTTATTTGAATGGAAATTAGAACATGAACTTGTACTGTTATGTAATATAATTTTAATTGCAGTGCTTATGGTATCCTCGATACTTACTACCAGCCAAAAATGACCGATGAGGAAGCATACAAATTAGGTAGACGGGCAATAATGCACGCTACATATCGCGATTCCGGATCTGGTGGCGTCTGCAATAGTCAGTCTACTTATGTTATCCATTTTGGTCTGCAGTGTTACTATGGTGTGACCTCTATACCCTTTTACGTCACATTTTTTTGCAGTGGTACACGTCGCGCCGAAAGAAAAAATCCGTTTCCCGCCTCTAGACGTGTCACAGTTGTACTATGAATTCGCTGCAGAGTTAGGGCGCGATATTGTCTACGAGCCCGATCCGAATTCATGATGTGTCCGTATAGGATCGAACTATTAATTTTTCGTATATTTATCTACTGATGTAAATAAAATCTGTTCATGAGACCCATCTGTGAAGCGTAACTGAAAACGTACCGATCTTGAAGTACCAAACTATCTCAAACTGAAACAGATCTGTCCAACTCATCAAGTAATAGATTTGCCTGATGAACAGGCACTAATTTTAAGGGACTCTAGTTGTTGCAAGCGTGGAAAAAACCGAGAGAAATGAACGCACAGTTCATATTGAAAGTTTGATTGAAAGACTTTGACATGTACGCCAGAAACGATTTCAAGGAAATTTATATAAACACGGAACAATAGTTCTAATCAGCATGAACATAGAGTTACGTTAACTAGATTATCATATGAAGTACAATAAGGGTTCTAAGTGAACATGTAACATCAAACACTGATATCAGTAACAATTCAGAGATATGCTGAAAGGTTAACATTTTGGATGCTTGTTGCAAGTCAAGAAGTCCCATACGCTATGTAACGAGAGTAAGAATTGTATTCCAAAGTTAGACTTATACAGTATTATGAGAACAATAAACAACGTAGTCAGTCTGCATTATGCATATTGGGAACTTTTGGCCATCCTTTGCACTCTACAAACAACTGCTAATCATGAAATCGAGAAGGCTCCCTCAGTTGTGCAAGTGACAAAATAGCCCAGGTTTGCCGGGATCTTCTTTTCTATACTTCCCCTCATCTTCCGACCTTCACCAGATTCTTTAAATTTGAGTTCGGATAATTCACAATGTATTACATGAATGTTTCGATCGTCATTCTTCTAGTTCGTCTATAAAATTACAAAGAGCTTCTAAGCACTTTTGAACTGTCTCTAAATCAACGCCAGCTTTTGACATCAACCTCTCTCTGACACTTATGAGTTCTTCATCTTACATCAAAATTTCATACATATATATATATATATATATAACAAACTAATTGCATTGATAAGCAAGTGAATTCCGCCTTCTTTTCTCATCATGAACATTCATCTCACTCGCCTTCCTTTTCCTATTCTTCCTTGACACTTTGACAACCACATTTTCATCTACTTCCTTTTCGTTTTCACAGCACACTTCCACGGGCAATTCCTTACCGTATGAAGCTTGACATTCTGAAAACTCCTCCATACCATTGTTTCCAATGCTCCCACCATTTTCCACTACCGTATCTTTTTCATTAAAATCAGCACAAGTTGTTTTTTCACTTACCATCAGATATTTTTTAATGATTTTCCGGTATTTTTTACTTAGCTTTCTCTCATCTTCATCCTCCAGTTTTGAAATCATTTTTTCAATTAATTTTCGTAATGCCACTATTTTTTCATCTTTTTTCATTGCTCTTTCTAATTTTCTGGCAAATTTCTGCTGTCGAGAATCATCAAACAATGCAAGTCTAGACTCCACAAGCCTTTTCAGTTTTTCAATAACGTTTTCATGCTGATTCCTATAAAAAGTTATTTCTTCCTTCAGCAGATGTTTCTCAACTCCGTTATTCTCCTTTGAACCATTAACACAAGATTCCTTGATTTGATTTGACGAGTCCAATGTTACTAAATCATATTTGCCGGCTTTTTCTTCGTTGTCATCAGCACCATCTATATTTTTACCAGTTTTGCGCATAAATTCTAGATAAATATCTTTTATAGGTTTCCATTTACAAACCCACTGCCTCGAATTTTCATCAAGTGTATCCAGGTATTTCAAAAGAATTTTGATCCAATCTAAAATAATGAAGCTCTTATATTTTTTATTTTCTTGATTATAATTTTTTACTCACAAAATTTCTCTTCTTTCGAAGATATATTCAGCTTTATGAAACTAAAGATAAACTACAGAACTATATAACTTATTTCTATTACTATTAAAAATGAATTACCGCAAAGAGGAAATGAGAGAAATATCTGATTCTTCGACAGAAAATTTTTCAGCTGCCTATATGATATTCTCTTCAAATATTCAGATTCCAGTAACCCATTTGTGCAATAACCGACCAAATTTTGTTCCATGATTCTGAAATGGTGAATAATTGCATCTTCCAAAACAACCAGAAAAATTAAAATGCTATTAGAACACAATTATATATCACAAATTTTCTGCATATAAAGGCTAGTTTGTGGATACATGTTATGATTTAAACTTAAATTAAAAAAATAAATGAATTCCGTAAAAACAAATTGTAAATCATATCGCATTTGAACAGATATGGATATCATCTGTATTTAAGGTGCGAATGACAAAAATTAGAAGTAATTGCAATAAAACAAAACATTAATGAAATAGATACCGTTTTTGCAGTAAATCCGTATCAATATTTTTTGGATATACGGGATTCTGTTCTAAAATTAACTTCAAGCTACGCTTGTATTCACCGACACTTATTGAAGGAACTTGTGGAAAGCAAGCGTTTGTGGCTTTCAGTGTGTCGCCATCAAATCTTTTGCAAGCATCACGCAACTTTTCGACCTCCATTGACCTATATGAAATATATCAAGGCGATTGTTTATCACTTCAAATTTCCAAGACAAGACGCAATGTGAAATGTCGAAGTCGGGATAAACTAATGTTAACTATTTTCTGAATCATGAGTAAGTATATGTGGTCAAAATAACTTATGATATTTAAAAAAAATGGAAATGACAATGGAAAAAGCTATCAAAAAACAGAATACAGCTGAAATATGAAAGGATTTTACAGAGAATGTGCTTTTGAATTAAAATCTTGCTAGAAATTGGACATTTATATCAATATACAAATGCAAATAACTACAAAAATGCAATTCCTATTTCTTGTGGATATCAAAGATCCATACCAAATTTTTCTGATTACAGGCACAGGACGTAACATCGACCGAGTGAGTACCACCCAAGGAATAAATGACATAGCCTTTTCCTGATCTTCCAACATCGCAAAATCTGCTACATTGTAATTTGTCGTTTCTGGAGGAAACATATTTTCTAGTCCTAGAGGAATGTGCCTCCTAGTCAATCGTTTTTTAATGAAGTCTTAAAAATAACTTGAAATTATAATGGCAAAGTAACAAACTGTACAAATTATACTTAACATGCATATAAAATTCGACCACAAAAAATAGGAAAAGTGATCTGATGAAAAAATAAATGTTCAGATGTGCTTTCTAATACAGCACCACACAAAAGATCTCTTCCCGTGAAAATATTACCATAAATTACTTGTCTTGTACTATCATCGAATTCGATTTCTTGAACATCATCATTATTCAAATTACCCTTCCTTAATCGCAACAAGCTTATATGATGATCAACAACAGTTTTCGGTCGCTTTAAACGCAAACTTATAACCTCAGAAGGAAGCCCTTCAGCATACAGTTCCTCAAACTTTTTTTGAAGTTCATTATTCCATTTTGGCCTTGAAAGAACAATTTCCATTAGGTCAATTCAAAATCGTAAACGATGATTTGCAACACTAAATATATGTTTTCTTATAAATACTTTTCTTAGCACAACTGTTTTCTTTAATATTGTATTGCTGACTGCAAATGATATTAAGCAATTTAAAACTTGGTGAGCTGAAGAAAGATATTTATATTTTTCTTAGCTTTCTGCTAATATGTTTGAATTCCAAATAAAATTCCCAAAAATCTTTGAAAAAGTGTAAATTTTGGTACTACTACATGAGACGAAATAATCATGTGAGGAATGTACAGTTTTTACCTCTGTTTTGCGTATGGATGAAATAGATGGAACATCCTAGCAATTACTTGTCGCCCCAATCTATCATTTAGTCCTTTGCCTGGAAAAAATCTTACTGAACCTTATTATTGGAATTATAGAAGATAATCTTCGAATATGATTCAAAATATTTCGCATTTTTCAAGAAAAACCAACACATTAATGGAATAAAATTCGTTTTAGCTTGAAATTGAAGCATATCTTTCCATTTATCTCGATCCATCAGGTAACGACTGCCTCCAGCAAATTTATACGCCTGACTCAGCTCAATATTGTTTGCTTCTGCATATTTCTTCCAGTTCTGAAAACAATTATCAATTCGGATCTCACTTTTTATTGGCAAATAAGATAAATTTTGTAGTCCAAAAACAGAAAGTATTTGCGAATGCAAAAATATTTTAAGAACAAATTGAAAAATTTAGATGGAAATAAAATTTACCCGCTTTATTTGATCATTCTCCTCCTTAGAAAATTTTCCTGCTCTGAACTTGACTCCTGAAATTAAATTTCAAAATGCCAGTAGAGACAAAGTTTTAACCATCATCAGCTCATTATTAGAGACCCATATATGTACAATGATGTACATATTAGGTATCACGAAATAAAAATGAAAAGTATTTCTCACAGAAACGACTTAACGTTTACCACAATCTTTGATTCTTTGCAGTTGTTCTGGAGTTAAAACTGTTCGTGAAATATGATAAATAGGTATGCCATTTTCATTCAGATATCCCTTATCAGGCAAGTAAGCTGGTTTCGCCCTCATATCACTTATTAGAGTATTAATAATTTTCTCCCGAAATTGCAGCCACAAACTACACAGCGATCAAATCACTACCTAAATGATAAATTGTACGAAAATTATCAAGTCACCATATACGTAGATATTTCTCGCCACATTTACAATGCAGGTATATTGATTGCTTCCTGACAAGTCATTACGTTGAGGTTAATACGTGAAAAATGCTTATTCAAAGCAGAGGAATGACAGAGATGAAAATATATTTTCCGAAACTATTCAGAAAAATTTTAATTCTTTTACTTGCGGAAACTTTCTCATTCTTGAAATACAAATAACTAAATACAATAACCATAAAAAAGCAAACTTATGCTAAATTAATAGAATGCCAAAACCAAACTCAAACTCATCACCACACATCCTACAGAGATGTTCACTTGTCACTGACCTAATACATAGCACCGAAATGCTATAGGGACGATTAAAAAGTGCGTTACTTTATTGATAATCAGACACAAAAGAAGAAAGCTTTAAAAAAGTGAAGGCTGACTTTTGACAGGTAGCAAAAGGAAATTTGAGCAACGTAGACACTTTATTATAAGAGAGAGACAGACAAGCAGAAAAACTAATACAACATTAAGGTTTAAAATTAAGAAGCTAGAGAAAAAAATAGTACAACAAAAAGTGTAGAGCAGTTTTTACTTGCAAAATATGTAGCGAAATATCGTGTCATTGTGAAGCAGGCAAAATTATACAAATCGATCATTGTGCAATTGCAAAGTTTCATAGCATAGTATTAAAGATGTTTAGGCTGAGAGGAGATGCAAATAAATTTGGTTGGCGCGGTCATATGCATTTTGGAATTGTTTTGCGTGAATTACTTTAATGTCGTGAAATAATTATAGCTACTCTGTGATAACACATTGCTGAGATACATTTTTTTTTAATGAAAATTAATAGGAATTGCAATTCTAGTCGAGATTTCGTTGCTTTATCAATTTATCACTGTTTTCTCAATAATAACTGTAATGAATTAATACATTGTTGAATCATTGCAAAATTGAAAAGTTTTCATGTTCTAATTTGGCTAGTTTTTTTGTGTGTCACACTTGAATTTTATTTTTTTCTACATTGCATCTCAAAACATGTTTGCAAATAATATTCTTCATTTTTTAGTGCTTTTAGCTGTTTAAATTTTAAGTTATGATTAAGCGCTGTATTTTAGCTCTTCTAAAGCAATGGGATACTCAGATAATATGTATCGAGGAGGAGGAGATGGTAAGTATTGTAATTTTTGAAAAGAGTTATGGTAGGAAAAA